AACTGAATGCTGATGGTCTCACACCAAAACCTATTCCTGGGCCTTCTACCCTCACCCACACCAATCGCCCCAGGCAGGGCCTCCAGCTCCTCTCTAACTCCAGCAGCCCACAACACACACGCATGCCCTGATGCTTATTCCATTAGTCTTCCCTGAGGACACAGAGGGCAGCTCAGCCTTGTGCTACTAATAAAAATCTTTTTTACAATGAACATTCTTTTTTTCTTTTTAGCTATTTATTTGGTTGCTCTGGGTCTTAGTTGCAGCATGTGGGATCTAGTTCCCTGACCAGGGATCAAATCCAGGCCCCCTACATTGGGAGCACAGAGTCCTAGCCACTGAACCACCAGGTGGTGGTGACGGTTTAGTAGCTTAAGTCATGTCCAATGCGACCCCATGGACTGCAGCCTGCCAGGCGCCTCTGTTCATGGGATTCTCCAGGCCAAGAATACTGGAGTGGGTTGCTATTTCCTTCTCCAGGGGATCTTCCTGACCCAGGAAGCAAACCCAGATCTCCTGAATTGCAGGCAGACTCTTTACCAACTGAGCTATAAGGGAAGTCCCACAGTGAACACTCTTGTAGCTCAATCTTTACACATGTATTTGTAGAAATATAGGAGAAATAAAGGAGAAATTCTGGGTCAAAGGCAGGTGCATTTTAGTTCTGGTCTACACTGTCCACTTGCCCTCCACTCTGCTGGATACAAGTCTACACTATCACCAGCAACAAGTGAGTGCTGTCAACTTTGTCCTTTGCTTATGTGACAGCTGAAAAATGGTATGTCACTGTAGGGTCATTTGCATCTCTTTTATTTAATCTGTGATTACTAAGAAATTAAAAAAGGTATACACAAAAGAACATTTTCCATAGTCCAGAAACATCTATTTTATCTTAAGACGTATAATTTCAAAGTATTTTCATGTGCCTGCAAATGGATATCTTTTTATCATAATGAAGTCTCAGATTCTTCATATATTTGCTGTAGCCCGATTTAAAAGAAATGTTGGATTTTATTTTCTGTGGAGGTTAGGTTCTAAAGTTAGCAGATACAATGCCATTTGAGTGAGCAGCAAGGGTAAACCTAAAAAAATTTATATGGTCATTTTTGCCTTTGTGAATTAGTCATACTACAGTTCATTTCTTCTACTGAACTGTTTTTTTTTTTTCTTACTTGACTGTAAAAGCTGTTTGTGTATTATTAGTTTTTTCTGCTTTCTTAATGGCTTTATTTTTTTCCATTAGTTAAATATCATGTCTGTTGGTTTAAATAGCTGATTCTTTATCTGTTGAAGTATACTTACTTTCCTGAGACTCTCACATCTGGCACTTAAACCTGGAAGTGATTCTGCTGTTAGATAAAAGGCGAGGTTTTAATGGGATCTTTTCTGAATAGTTTTTCCTGACACCATGCTTTTCACAAGCCAGCGCTTCCTTGTTTGAACCTGTCTCTGGGGGGCTCCTTCATCCTCTCCCTCTGAAGAGTCTTCTGGGTTTTGTGCTGGGGAGGCCCCAGGAGGCACTAACACTCCAGGCCAGGACATTCTTCCTTAGAAGGCTGAGCCTTTCTGCTTTTACCAGCAGAGTTTTTCACTTTTAAACATTTTCCAGTTAGATGTACTGGAATGTAGGTATTTAATTAACATTTATGCAAACAGATGAAATCTGGGTGGGAAAAGAGAATGGTTGTTTCTGTGAAAATGAAACTGAATCCTTTAAAAGATGGGTTAAAACACCAATTGCTTAAAATACAAAAACAAAAAACTGCTGTGGAACCCAAGGAGGGAGAAAGAACTGTGAAAGCACAGAAGGAAGACACGGCAAACCTAGGGTTCTGCTCTTGAAGTACACCTCACCTCACCTCAACTCACAGAACCCAGGCTGGCCGGGGTGAGTATGCCTGTCAGAGGCAAGGGTGTGGCCCATGCCAAAAGTGAGTCAACAGGGGCACACGTTCAGGTACGTGTGGAAGCAGCATTTTCAGACCTGTTTTAATCACACACTTTGCTTAAATCACGAATTTATTCAGACCTCCCAAGGACTTCTATTATAATATGTCACTTGGTTATCTCATGGGCCACATCAGATGTGGCCCTTTATTGTGCCTCTCTTTCAAATTTTTCATATTCTTGCTTGCTGTTAAGAATCTAACTACAAATAAAAACCAACTTCTTTGAGAACCCAAGTAAAGCTATCTGTATTTACTTTTTCTAAGCATTTTTCTGATCCAGAGCCAAATTCTAGCCCAGGGATCTTCCTGGGAATACCCAGGCCACCTCTCCCACCCTAAGACTCTTGGATGCTAGATGAGTTGTTGTCATGGCAACCCAAGGGGCTGATCCTGGAGGGAGGGCTCTCAGGGAACGTTTCCTTCACTACGTGCTGTTCCTGCACCCCTCTTCACAGGCAAGTTCCAGGAAGTGGCCCAGGAAGTGGCCAAGGGGTCGTGCACACTGCCCATTCACTTCCTACCAGGAAGGAATCATTTCAATAAAACTGGTCTCGCTCCTGGAACAATGCATTTAATGGAACAATGCATTTAAATCTGTGTGAAATCTGAAGGACGCTTCAGAGCCTGCTCCCCAGCCTCTAGGCAGAGCTGACTACTGCTGAGCACAGTCTCCACAGGAGCTCTTCGACCTCCCTCTGACCCACAGCCTGTGATCCCTCCTGCACCCACAGCAGAGGTTTGAGGCAGGCACCTGTGAATAGCATCTGGCTTGCTGTATGTTTTGCTGGACTGCCTTGTATTTTTACAAAATACGAATTCACTTCCAACATCTGTAAGTTGAGATGTTTCACCCAAACATGCTAGATTCCTTGTTTCTCTGGAATACCTGGAAGGCCCCTGACCTTTGCCATGTCTGATCAGCCACAGGATCTGCCGGCACCAGCTCCTCCGTCTCTGTGGGCCTGGGCAGATGTGAGGCTGCCCGTGATGCGGGGTGTCCAGGCACGACCCCCAAAGGTCCTCTCCTACCATGTCTGTCCCTCTTGCACGTGTGAAGGAGATGAAGTGAAGTGAAAGTCGCTCAGCTGGGTCTGACTCTTTGCGACCCCAGGGACTATACAGTCCATGGAATTCTCCAGGCCAGAATACTCAAGTGGGTAGCCTCTCCTTTCTCTAGGGGATCTTCCCAACCCAGGGGTCGAACCCAGGTCTCCTGCATTGGAGGTGGATTCTTTACCAGCTGAGACACCAGAGAATGATGACCATCAAAACAACTATTTTGTTGAGGGGAAGAGCCGGTTACTAATGGTGCCCCCTGACTGGATCTCCATCTGGGGTCATGGGCCAGGCAGGGAACCAAGACTTCTCACTTATGAACTGGTTCACAGAAGTTGCAAAGAGCAAGGGTGAGATTATCCTGGGGGGGAAGAGGCTGCGATGGGTCACCTTGGCCTCTGGGGCCCCTGGTGGGTGGTAGAAGGGGCTGAAGTCATGGGCTCCCTGGGACCTGCCCACACCTTTCATCCTGCCATTACTTGGCCCAGACCATGGTCAACAATCAGACCACAAGACCTTGCAGTGAAATCCTGAGTCACTGAGCAGCTCCTCTCGCTCAGCTACTCCCCTGCCCAGTCCCACAGGGTCTCTAGACACACTGAGCCATTACCAATGTCACAATTAACTGCATGTACACTAATGATAAGCATCGAGAATAACCAGGTAACTACCACTCAATCCTGAATTTCTATTCCTTCCCAACGTTAGAAAGTTTGATAGCTCTAGGAATCTAGTGGAGATGTAGGGACACCATACTGAACTTATGGAAATTCAAGGACAGGTCCGAAAAGGGACAGCAAGGAAGAAGGAAACTGGAGAATTCCCGCTCAGCCGGCTTGCACCTTGGGCTGAGGCAGCAGCAGATTCACCCTGCGGGCTGGCTACACAGAAAGCCCCTGGGGAGTGATTTACAAAATGCTGCAGGCATTTCTGCTTATTATGACAGGTCCACCACACCCCAAGCCCAAACCCTAACCAGCAGTTGAGATGAAACAGGGTTAGATCTGCTCTTTGATTTGAACATTTAAAGAAATTTCATTTGACTTGATTTAAGCATTAAAGATGTTACCTGAGTTCTTTAAGAGGTTTTTTTATTAGGACATAGGCATTAAGTTCACTAAAGCGACTGATTTCTGAAGTCTAAAAATGTTAATTTAGCACATCAAAATTACACATTATTGCATGTCAGTGCCAGACAGGAAGTGCAAAAGGACACAGTTATCATTTTTAACAAAAGCTTCATTCCCCCAAAACAAGCACTTTATACATTTTAAAATGGAATTAACCTCAGGCTGACCCTCTAATCGCTCAGAGTGACACGCTTTATAGATGGATTCATTGTATCAGATACGAGATGTAGGCTGAACAGAATTCCTGTGGCTTTGCTAAAGGTTCTTCTCTCATTCAATATTTAACCTCTGAATAAAATAATTTTAAAAAGACCTGGTAGTAAGACCAAGGTTAAATACTTTAAATACTTTCAAAATAATTTCTTGAATAAAACTTCACAAGATTTGCATTCTATTAGTAATCTTAAGATTAAGAAGAGTAGCAATCAGAGAATAAGTAGGAACTGAAAACAATTCCAAGGTGCATATTAGATACTGTTTTAAGCCCTGTGTCTCTTTCAGCAAAGTGACCATGGCACACAACACTACACCAATGTCTGTCTCCCTGCTCTTCTTAACAGAACTGATTTTGTTTAGGGCAGCGATGTGTCCAAATCAAAGTCCACTGCCCAGCCTATGCTGTAGGATGAGAAGACCATAACACTGTTTTCTGCTTTTGCCCTTCCTCTTTATCTGTCCTGGAATGCAGCGCTGATGCTGGTGATAGGGCAGCCATCTTGCTAATATGAAGCGACAAGCAAGAGGATGAGGCCACGGGCTAAGGATGTTCAACATAAAGGCTCCTCATGGCATCTCTACCAGACCTGCCCGCCAGCTTTCATATTTTTTTGACACCCTGCCGGGAAGTGCACAACAAAATACTCACAGTCAGCACTGTACTCCACCTGGGAGGGCTGCACGGCTGCACCATCTGCAGTGGGTGGGGTGGGGGCAGGACTGTCGGCCTGGGCTTTACGGACCAGTGCTGCAAGGGGGTGATCAGGGTCCACCACCTTCAAAGGCTGCAGAGAGAGAAGACGCCAGGTCACATTCCAAGTCATGCAGAACCTTTCTGTGGCAAGAAGGTTCATCTCAACTTTAGAACAGTATCTATGCTTCAGAAAAACCTCAGCACATGCATGTAAACATGCCTGCACCCAAGGAGGCCCTGAGTAATTGTGGCTGAGCACTCTAGCTGGTCAGATCCAGAGGAACTGAATAAACGAATCACTTCACTCTTCCTAATGACATGAGGGAAAGTAAGGACGGGAGATCAGGAGTAGACTGCTGCTGAGAAAAGTGTCAGCCTCCACATTCACTCAAAATCTCAAACTGTGTTCCTCCTCAAAGCAATTTCCCATTTTTAATCACCAACAGCTTTTAAAGTCCAATCGATCAGCTGCACTGCATGACTACTGAAAAGATAAGCTTAGGTTTGAGGGACCTGTTTTCTCACATCACAAATGGCAGCATGAAGGGTGTGGATTAACTCCTAATGATAAGTATGAAAAAAAAATTTAGGTTTTTAGGTAATACATTATGTTTCCTATGATAGATGGTTTCAAGCAGCACATATTCTGTGAACCTATGAAATCCTCTCGTAATAAAATGTGTATGAAAAACCCATTTTCTAAGTCTCAATCAACATTTTACTTATTCTAAATATCCCAAATAGTAAAAAATATCCCAAATATAATAAAATGAAAATAATCTGTTTGTGATTATATAAAACAGGACACATAAGAAATAAAGGGACCAAAAAAATAAAAAATAAAAAAAAAAAAAAGAAAGAAAGGGACCAAATCCTTTGCTGCCAAGTCAAACAAAATGGCGAAATACACCTCAATGATCATAAAACGAAATAGAGCTAATACACAAAACCATGCTCGCTTAGCAACCCCCCAAGGTTAAATCAGCAGGTGTGTTCTCTAAGGAGACCAGCACCTTCATGAGCTCCTCCAGGCGGTTGCACTTCTTCGAGGCGAAGAGGGATGGGTGCAGGTAACTGCCGTCCTCCTCGTCGTCGTCATCTTCATTGTCAGAGCTGACGCCCGACTCTGAAAGCAGAGCACATTCAAGACTTTAAGGTACAAATATACTGTGTGAGAACGTAGGAACAGACAGAGGCAGAACTATGTGCTGCCATTCCTCAGTAATCTGCCCAAACAATCCCTCTGGGAAACACCTCATCTCGCTGCCCCCCAAGTCACTCAACAGCAAGGCAGGCTGTGAGAAAGGCATGGCCCAGTGGCACCTCCCCTCTGGCATTTACCAGTCGGGGGCCACTGAATATTCACATTTTTTTTTTACAAAAGAGGCAAAAATCTCACTGATTTATGAAGGTAAAATAACAGCAACAGGTATTTTAGAAACCTACAGGAGACCAACATGGAGAAGGTAAGGTCTGTAGTAAGATTGACACAACTGATTTTGAAAATCATGTTTCAGCTGAAAGAAAAATTCAATGACAGACAGATATAGAGCTGTCTCAGGATGTTATTCGAAATCCTTAATTGGTCTTTGTCATAAGAATTCCAAATTTAGACACTCAACCTTAGGCCCTAACCGGGCGTGTACCCTGGAACCATCCATGAAGCATGAACCTGCTGCTTTCTCTGTGACACGTTCAACAGCCCAAAGGAACAAATTATTTCTAACCAACATGGTTATGCTCTGATGGCATCAATATTTAATTCTACATCACCAATCTATAAAAATATTAATTAGGAATCTAATATATTTTCAGACTTAGCAGGAAGAGTGTCACACTAGACTATAGAGCAGGTTTAATCCTTGGGCCTTGGCAGCAGGACTTCATAAACATTCTGGAAGTTCTGCAGTGCAGACGTCAAGCTTATGAGGATGACCCTCTTTACACTTCTCCAGGGTCCCCCCTTACCCCTACCACACCCCACCCCAACCAAAGCAGAACAGAAACAGTTTCACATACTCTTTTTCTCTTCACTTTTGTTTTCTGCCAGTACCGTATACCGTCCTTCTTTCATCGCTTTCTGGATGAATTTGTAGTAGGGGTTGAGGTAGTGATCGAAGCGTAGAAAGTCAAATTGAGAGTTTCGGGCCTGCTTGGCTTTCAGCATTATCTCGAACTGTGCACCTTGTTTGCACACGAAGTTGGCCGTGCGCTCAATGATGGCGTGCATTTTGGCTGTTGGTGGCTATGAGAAAACACACACATTCATGTCACCAGTTTGTTCTCCTGTCCACTCACTACGTGACTCAAAACATATAAATGACCCTGGTTTTTATTGCCAACTATAAGAAATTACAGACATTTCAATGGGAAGAGCCCAGTTTGAACAGACTGTGACACTGGCCCCTGTCCCATGACACCCAGTTTCTGAACCTTGTGAGGAGAAAGCTCCCATGCTGAGGCAGGACATTCTAGCTTTGTACTGAACTGATGGGAGGAAGATTTTTGTTAAAAAAATCAACATGTTTCCATATATTGGGCGCCCTTAACCATGGTTCCATGACAGGCTTCAGAGGTTATGAATCTTCGGGGAAGCTGTATGTAAATTCGGCACACACACATGCTTATTTCTAGGAGAGGGTGCATGTTTCAACAAGCTTTTTAAGGATCTAAGAATCACTTCTCTTTGGGCTCTAGAATCATTGCAGATAGTGACTGCAGCCACAAAACTATAAGACACCTGCTCCTTGGATGAAAAGCTATGATAAACCTAGACAGTGTATTAAAAAACAGAGACATCACTTTGCCAACAAAGGTTTATATAGTCAAAGCTACAGTTTTTCCAGCAGTCATGTACAGATGTGAGACCTGGATCATCGAGAAGGCTGAGCACCAAAGAAATGATGCCTTCAAACTGTGGTACTAGAGAAGATTCTTGAGAGTCCTTTGAACAGCAAGGTAAACTAATCAATCCTAAAGGAAATCAACCCTGAATATACACTGGAAGGACTAAAGCTGAAGCTGAAGCTCCAATACTCTGGCCACATAACGGGAAGAGTCAACTCACTGGAAAAGACCCTGATGCTGGCAAAGATTGAAGGCAGGAGGAGAAGGGGACGACAGAAGATGAGGTGGTTGGATGGCATCACTGACTCAATGGACCTGAGTTTGGGCAAACTCAGGGAGATAGAGAAGGACACGCAAGGCTGGCGTGCTGCAGTTCATGGGGTTGCAGAGTTGTACACGACTTAGCAACTGAACAGCAAGGTATGGTCTGATCAGAAAAGGGAGGGTTTCACCCACGTTTACTGGGTGAATCATCTTGTTGCCTTAGAGTGAGTTTACTACTAGGAATCAGACCCCACCTCTTTCCTGCACCTGCTGCCAAGTTACCTCTACCACATCCCAAGCTGAGCAATTCCTACCCACACATGGAGCCCCCCAGACCAGAAGCTGGAAGCCACACATCTGAAATACTTTTATTAATATCAATGAAAAGATTAATACTAGAAAACTACATGCAAATAAAGTGGGAAATGACCTCTCATTAACAACACAGTCAAGATGCTTATTGTCATTTCAGGCCTGAATCCTTCACAAAATACCAGTGCCTTAATTCTCAAATGTGACTCCTGAACTAATGACGTCCTTCACTCTTGAAGAGCATAAATGTCTATAATTAAAGCTATTTACTGATCCTAAAATAAACCAGAGGCCATGTTAAAGGCCCACTGGGCACTTAAATCTGGATGCTGATGCATGTTTTCAGTGGCTTTGGCTCAACAGGAAGATTAATTTTGGAGTCAGTGTATATATGATAATTATTTATGACTACTTCAGAATAATGATCCTTATGGGAAAATATAACCCCATCTGCCCCCACAAGTAGAGATGTTCTCTCATGACCCACCAACCTGTTGGGCAGTATTATGGCTATGGTGGTTACAGAAAAACAGACGGGTAATTTCACAAAGTGAAGATGAGTACAGAGAAACAAAGCACTTTAGGAACATGCTTGAACATCCTTTCAGGATCTGTGACTGAAGCAAATGTATGTAAGACACTATACAGTCCCTCTCCACTTCATTTAGTTATTTTTCTGGGGTTTTATGATGTCCCTTCATCTGGGACATAACTTTCTGCTTTTTCATTTTGATTAACTTTCTGTCATATGGTTTTTGTTTTAGTCGCTTTGGGACTGTGTCTCTTGCTTATTCTGTCTGCCCTCTGATGGAGGAGGCTAAGAGGTTGGTGTAAGCTTCCTGATGGGAGGGACTGGCATGGGAAAAACTGGGTCTTGGTCTGGTGGCCAGGGCCTTGCTTGTAAAGCTTTAATCCAATTATCTGCTGATGGGTGGGGTTGCACTCCCTCCCTGCTAGTTGTCTGGCCTGAGGCAACTCAGCCCTGGGGTCTGCTAGCTCTACGGTGGGTGGGGTTAATGGTGACCTCCAAGAGGGCCTACTCCAACGGGGACCCTCCCGACCTGATGCTGCCAGTGCCCCGGGCCCCGCAGTGAGCCCCTGCCAACCCACGCCTTCATAGGAGGTCCCCCAACACTAGCAGATAGTTTTGGTTCAGTCTCCTGTAGGGTCACTGCTCCTTTCCTCTGGGTCTTGGTATGCACAAGATTTTGTGCCCTCCAAGATTGAAGTCTCTGTTTCCCCCAGTCCTGTGGAAGTCCTATAATCAAATTCTCCAGGCTGGAATACTGGAGTGGGTAGCCGTTTCCTTCTCCAGGGGATCTCCCCAACTCAGGGATCAAACCCACATCTCCAGCACTGTAGGCAAATTCTTTACCAGCTGAGCCACAAGGGAAGCCCAAGAATACTAGAGTGGGTAGCCTATCCCTTCTCCAGCAGATCTTCCTGACTCCGGAATTGAACTGGGGTCTCCTGCATTGCAGGTGGATTCTTTACCAACTGAGCTATCAGGAAAGGCCTCTGTGATCACAGCCCCAAATGAATATCAGATTGAGTCATGAACTGCATTGTAAAAACAAAACCATGGATGTAACAGCAGGGACTACAGGGCTGTCAGGGGTGGAAAGGTCTACTAAAACCAGATTCAAAATCCTGATGCCAGAAAGGAACATGGTGACATATGTGTTTTTACAAATACATTTAAATTCTGCATGGAAAGAGGGACAAACAATTAAGAGACAAAGTACCAGAAGAACAAACATGCACATCACATACTGGACCAGGGGTTAGTCAGCACTCATCATATATAAAAAGCCCTCACAGTCTCCTGAGAAAACACACGAACTCCCCAGGGACATGGGTAAATAATTTTTTTCTGCACCCCCATCCCATGGCAACACACCAGCTGAACACATGGTGAGAATTAACGCTCTAATCAGAGCAACCTTCAACGAAGCGTAACCACGTGACCCCAAGTTCTGCAATGGCTCTGGGCTGCAAGTGCAGGCCTGACCCACAGGCTGACCTGGGGCGGCTACTCTTGACAGCTCTAGCCTGTGTCCCCATCATAGAAATACTGGTGTCAGGGGGACTGAGGAGCAGAGCAAGCACAGTGCCTGACTCATAGCACCTGCTCAAAGAACACTCCTTATCTGCTGTTGCTATTAACCTACTGGACAGAAACCCAGCCCATGATGGGAACTGTGCACTGAATCCTTCCCCCTTTTCCCTCTGCCCATAAAGTAAGTTAAACAAGCACATTTTATTGGAAGGACTGATACTGAAGCTGAAGCTCCAATACTTTGGCCACTTGATGCAAAGAGCCAACTCATTGGAAAAGACCCTGATGCTGGGAAAGGCTGAAGGCAAGAGAAAAGGATGACAGAAGGTGAGATGGTTGGATGGCATCGCTGACTCAACGACATGAGTTTGAGCAAACTCTGGGAGACTGTAAAGGACAAGGAAGCCTGGCATGCTGTAGTCCAAAGGGTCGCAAAGAGTCAGATGTGACTGAGCGACTGAACAACAAAGCGCATTTCCCATGGAAATACACTCAAATGGGTGTGCTGAGCAGCAGCCCTTCTGGTCCCCACGGCTTGAGGGAAACACAAGAAGGTATAGGACAGGCCCAGAAGGCCCGTGGCATCTCAGGTGGGTGAGAGACCAGGTTGAGACATGCTCTCTACCTTCCCTGCAGTGCAAGACAACACAACCACAAACGGGCCTGGGCGTGTGCAGAACTTGGGAGGTGACAAAGCCTGGGAAAGGAGCAGGTAACTGAAAACACTGTCAGGACAAGCATTGGGCTACATATTCTGGCAAAAACTAGGTCCTTATTTCCCAAGGAACATACAAATAGCCACAGAGTCAGTATAAAAAGCTAAAATAGAGCTGTAAGGCCACCTGAGGGGCTTGAGTCTAGCCTAGGGACTGGACCTAAAACAAGTGGCCATCCTCGAGCCTGCACCAGCACACTTCTCCAGGGTGCCGTGATCTCTTAACTGCTCCCAATCCTTCACACGAAACCCCCAGAGCCCCTGTAGCCATTGGTTTGTTAAACCAAAAACTTAATTTAGAAACGAAGAACCCCTAAAGCACCTGCTCTCTTCACCATCCCCAACCCCGACGGCCAGGAGCTAGAGAAGCCCCTGCCCACCCAGGCAGCATGTGTCCACATAAACATGTGTCAGCAGTTTCAACCTTCAGTGACCGAGAAGGAATCCATGACACAGACATCTGCCTACTGGAGCTACTCCACTAACGTGGGCACGACAGTGTACAACGTTCACAGCGGATCACTGCTCCAACTCACAGCAATTATGAAAAATCCACTACTGACGTCACCATAAAGGAAAAGCAAGCTGTCCACTGGAGATCCAGTGAGCACTCACAAGTGGTTTCTACACAGAGCAATTTCCTACTCAAGAGACCATTTTATAATAACATCAGAAGAGAGCAGACTTCCAGTTCAAGACGGTGGAGCAGAAGGACATGTGCTCACCTCCTACGAAAGCACCAAAATCACAACTAGCTGTTAAACAACCATTGACAGGAGGGCACTGGTACCCCCCAAAAAGATACCCCACATCTTAAGACAAAGAAGCTGCAGCAAGACTGTAGGAGAGGCACAATCACGATAAAATCAAATCCTACACCCACTGAGTGGGTGACCCGAAAACTGGAGAATAATAATACCAAAGAAGTTCTCCCACTGTTGTGAAGGTTCTGAACCTCACGTCACGCTTCCAGGCTGGGGATCCGACAAAAGGACTGGGAATCCCCAGGGAATCTGACCTTGAAGGCCAGTGGGATTTGATTATAGGACTTCCACAGGACTGGGGGAAACATAGAGACTTCAATCTTGGAGGGCACAAAATCTTGTGCACACCAAGACCCAGAGGAAAGGAGCAGTGACCCTACAGGAGACTGAACCAAAACTATCTGCTAGTGTTGGGGGACCTCCTGTGAAGGCGTGGGTTGGCAGGGGCTCACTGCGGGGCCCGGGGCACTGGCAGCATCAGGTCGGGAGGGTCCCCGTTGGAGTAGGCCCTCTTGGAGGTCACCATTAACGCCACCCACCGTAGAGCTAGCAGACCCCAGGGCTGAGTTGCCTCAGGCCAGACAACTAGCAGGGAGGGAGTGCAACCCCACCCATCAGCAGATAATTGGATTAAAGCTTTACAAGCAAGGCCCTGGCCACCAGACCAAGACCCAGTTTTTCCCATGCCAGTCCCTCCCATCAGGAAGCTTACACCAAACCTCTTAGCCTCCTCCATCAGAGGGCAGACAGAATAACCAAGAGGCATAGTCCCAAAGACTAAAACAAAAACCATATGACAGAAAGTTAATCAAAATGAAAAAGCAGAAAGTTATGTCCCAGATGAAGGGACATCTAATACACTAGAAGGAATCAATAGCAGAATAAATGAGGTGACTGAGGCAGAAGAACAGATAAATGACCTGGAGACAGAATGGTGCAAATCACTGCCTCAGAACAGAATACTCAAAAAAAGAATGGAAAAAAAAAAAAAAGAAGACAGCCTAAGAGACCTCTGGGACATATTAAACGCACCAACATTCGCATTATAGGGGTCCCAGAAGGAGGAGAGAGAGTAAAGATCTGAAAAAATATTTGAAGAGAAAATAGCTGAAAACTTCCCTAACAAGGGAAAAGAAACAATCAACCAAGTCCAGGAAGCAGAGCATCCCAGACAGGATATATCCAAGGAGGAACACACTGAGACACACAGTGATCAAAATTAAAAATTAAAGAAAAAGATAAAATAGTAAAAGCAGCAAGGGAAAAACAACAAATAACAAAGGAGGAAACTCCCATCACGTTTATCAGCTGATTTCCCAACAGAAACTCTACAGGCCAGAAGGGAGTGGCAAGATATATTTAAAGGGATGAAAGGGAAGAACCTACAACCAAGATTTCCCTACCCAGCAAGACTCTCATACAGATTTGATCCAAAAATCAAAAGCTTTCCAGACAAGCAAAAGTTAAGAGAATTCAGCAACACCAAACCAGCTTTACAACAAATACTAAAGGAACTTCTTTAGGCAGGAAACACAAGAGAAGCAAAAGACCTACAGAAGATAAACCCAAAATAATTAAGACTATGGTAACAGGATCACACATCTATAATCACCTTAAATGTAAATGGATTAAATGCACCAACCAAAAGACAGAGACTGACTGGGCAGATGAAAACATGTGCTTGTATGCACTTCCATACATATGTACCACATCACTCTGCTTGACCCCCCAAACTGCATGTAATTTTTTTATACTGTGAAGTTAATCATGTTCCCATTATGGCTTGCAATTGTAATAATCTTTTACTTTGTGTCTGGTCATTGATTATGAAAACTGAAAAAAAATCTTCCTCTATTGTGATTATGTAACTATTACTCACTTAATACCATTGTATCATGACTGGTCAACAGAAAAATAATAAAACTCTATATTACCAAAACTAAAGGGGAAGAACCATCAATCCATGCTGCACTAAATATGGGAGGTGTCATGCACACATGAGGAGAATGCAAAAGACTCCTGTGAGTTTTCAGTGTCCACTGTTTATTCAGTGATGCTGTAGCAGGACACACAGAAGGACCTGGAATACCCACATCCAAGGCAGGAAGACACCAAAGAAAAAACTTTACAGTGAGCACAAATAGCCCTTTTCTGGGTATGTACATGCAACAAAAATGTTTTAAACATCCCTAATAAACATGTAAGGATCCTACAAATCATAGCAACTTATTGTGGCCCGACAGTTAAAAGACTATGAGCCAGAGTTCCTGCCTGCTGTGTGTGACCCAACTTCTTCACTTCTCTTCATCTGTGAAAGAGAGATAGTAACAAGAAGCTACTTCATAGCATCACTAGCATTAAATGAGGTAATAGGTGGAAAACCCTTGATGAGGCCTGTTACAATGTAACCTTAACCAAATGTAGCTGAAACAGCCAGGTGAGGTGAGATTAATCCAACTCCGCCAGTAACCAGCTTCAGAGCACTAAGGTGGAGAGGATGCCACCCAGGTGTTCCTCCTGAGTGCAGGGGCTGCCTGGAGATACCACAGAGTCTTGACATACTAGAGAGGAAAACCAGGCGGAAGTGTGCCAAGGGAATGTCAAGGTGAAGACACTTATCTTAAGTGCCCACAAAAACCACATTAGAGAAAGATAGGACAGAGCAACTTTACTGAAGCCAAGCTGCTTTGAGCAAGAGGGTTTTTACACCTAAGCGTGGCTAACAGTCTCCTCACCAGAAATTGACTAGGTTTTTCTGTGCTGGTAAAACCTGGGGATTCAACCACATGGTCTCTGAGAGTGAGCCAGCTCGCCCAGCCCCTGATGCTCTGGTCTAGTGATTCTTCTGTAATGTTTCTCTTTTTCTTCAGAGAAAAATAGGCGGTGTGTGATGATTTTTCCTCCATTAATTCAAAAATAATTGTAAAGCATCACACAAACTGTAAGACGGCTGTGACTGTGGTGAGGCTCTCACATGAGTACTTCCTGGTAAGTGCTAACAGGGGTGAATAGCATCGTGAGGGACAAAGACACCTACCAGTTCCACATCAGGTGGCACGTTCAATCCTAGTGGGGCAATGAAAGGCTCCTCGTTTTCCTCCAAATTTTCAGCTTCAGTTTTTTCTGTATAAAAAGAAAACATAGAACTTCAGAACCACAACCTGAGAAGACGACAACAGTGGAGGGGAGAGTGGCACGAGCATCACCTGGCCCCTCGTGGTCCTGTCATACACCACAGCTCCCAGGAACACTTCCACTCTCTATTCTGTGTTCACTGGACTACCTGTGGGCAAAAGCACCTCACCAGATCCCAGAGGGGCTGGGGTGGTGCAGCATGGGACCATGCCTCCCTCGTTCTTGTCTGTTTCCTCCTGGTACAGACACAGTGGCAGTGTGGACTCCGGGGCCATGGTGCGGGTGCAGTGAGACAACGCATGTGAGCGTTTCCACCCCAAGGCTCTGCACGTAGCAGGCGTGCGACACACTTTCACCTCTCCTCCTTCCCAGTCCCCTCTGATCTGCTAAGCCCACCCTCCCAACTATATGGGTGGGTTCCCCAGAGGGCCAAGCACAGCACAGGGTGCTCAATTACTAGATGACCGTTTTCATCACTGAACCATAAAATCCCTGCATGTAACTTGCCAAGACCTCTCCACCCAAGCAAACCACCTCTCTCTTCACAAATAATCAGATGTATGTCTATTTTCATTTCTTGTTTAACGGTTCACTTAACAAACATCTGTCTACTGGAAGCCAGACAAGACACTACACACTAACTTTCTGAATTCTAAGGTACCTATATACATCTCAATTTAAGGAACAATTTAAAAGGATATGGTGAAATGTACGAAAACATACTGGAAAACTTGTAAAAAATAATGTTTTTAGAATTTCAACATCCATTTATTTCTTCTTTCAAGAAAGATGATGTGAAATAAACATTAAGTCTTCATTGAAACGAGTATCTCCACTGTACATAATGGAGTCTCTTGAAGAGACAACAATTTCAAACCTAATTCTCTGTGAAGCTGAGAAGGAACTTTATATAGGCGTCACAGTACACAAAGACCTGGGGGCTGCAGTCTGATGAGACATAGACTGATAAAGTAACCGTATTCACCAATGTCCCACAAGCTCACATACTCTTGGCTCTCTCCCAAGAACTGAAGACTTGCTATGGCATGAAAGTTCCCTGTAATCAGCAACCCCTCTGTTCAGCTCCAGTAACCAAATGACACAGCAGAACTGATAGGTATTAGAAACAGTGGTTTGCAACATGCCAAGTAACAGCTTAAAAATCCCCAAATTTCTTTGGGAATGAGGTCAAAGGTGTGAATATATAAAAGTATAACTTCACCATATCTCCCTAAAACGACAAAGTGCTATAAACTTTGTTCAAATAGCCTTTCCTTAGTGCTAAGCTGTTCTCAAAAATAAAGGAACTCAGAGCAAAAGCGCTATTTGGAATAGTTGGTTACAGATTTGCTTTGTTCTTACACATACTTCACAGAGAAATGGTTTTAGTAGCACAAAATAAAAACGAACTATTGTAATGTTAACTCAGATTCAAATAAATTTAAATATTTTCTTGTTAAAGAAAGGGATAGGTGATAATGATGAAAACCTGTGAAAATAAAAGATGGAACTGGGCTGGAAACAGTAACCTGCAGAGAGGGAAGAGAGAAGTTACACAGAACTAAAGGCGCAGTCAGAGGCTTCTGCTTAATATCACAAGGATTTACAGCAGTCAAACACCAGGACACTGCAGTCACCCCTCAGTGTCTGCAGGGGCACCAAAATCCAGGGATGCTCAAGTCCCAGAGCTGGCCCTCTGTATCTGTGGCTCCACTTCTGTGGATTTGACCAACAGCACAGTACTGTTTTTTATCAAAAGAAGAAAAAAATCCGAGAATAAGTGGACCCCCCCAGTTCACACCTGTGTTGCTCAACAGTCAACTGTATGGCATTTTTGGAAATCAGGGAATATTGAGACATGTTGGTGACTCAGAAAAACAAACAAAAGTTAAAATTTTAGACTGCAAGATAATGCAGCAGTAAAGTATAATCTGGTTGTTAGTGGTACTGGGTACCAAACTGTATTCTATTTAAAAAGTGTGTGTAAGCATAGGTACACATCCAAGTATGTATGTGTGTGTATGCATGCTTCCATGGTATTTGTGTATGTGGCATTTTATTTATACTAGTGTAAATTAAAAGTTGAGCTCTAAGTTTTACAGGGCCTCAACTTCCATTAAAGAAATTCATCAGCACACAGAGCAAAATTCGGAGGATGTGGTTACAGAAACAAGATTTTAAATATGGAGAAATTTACATTAAAGAGAAAAGACACTAAAACTTGGAAGAGGAACTAAGCCACATTGAAGTTCTTAAAATTCAATGTTGTTGTTATTTATTTGTTAAGCTGTGTCCAAATCTTTTGCAACCCCGTGGACTGTAGCCCATCAGGCTCCTCTGCCCATGGGATTTCCCAGGCAAGAACAGTGGAGTGTTTTCAATAATCTAACCATATTTGACATCAGGGAGCCCAACGATTACAGTGAGACAGGTGCCCAACACCTAGAACAGGGGTCTGCGACATCTTTCTGCAAAAAGCCAGACAGCAAATATTTCTGGCTCTCTGGCCAGGTGGTCTCCGTCTCAACTACTCCCCATTGTCAATGAAGTGCAAAAGCGCACAGACAAAACAGGGGCAAATGAGCATGGCTGTCCCAATATAACTTCACAGAAACGCGCCAACTGGTCTTCAGTCACAGTTTGCTGATCCCCAACCTAAAATGTTAAAGCACACAATGTACAAGGCTCAGAGACAACAACAAAATTGGAACTGTCCGGAATCCAAGATGGATGACTTGTTCTAGATTAAGGAATGAGTGTATACTTTTCAAACCTGCAAGAACACATCCACCGCACCCTAACTTCTGAGGTCTGCTCAGATTCAAAAGTCAATGCAAGAAGGTATTTAATACTTTAACTAGGCTTTGACTCAATATGATTAAAATGACATCTGGGAAGACTCTTAGAAGCTTGCAGAGCAGGGCTGTGCAACAGTGACTCTTATGCCCATAAAGTAACGAGCAGAAGGAAAGCCAGGGCGACGAGGCAAGTGTCTGCATGAGCTGGCCCCACATCTCGCTGTCATGCCCCATGGTGAAGAAGCTGGGAGAACCCTAGTGGGGCTGCCGGGCACAGGCATTTTAATGTGCAGGGCACACGGCATTTTAATACGAACTGCCACAGTTACTTCATACTTGCCGGAAGATTTGTTACTTGAGGAGAAAACAATTAAGTAAGTCCATATCACAGGTTCAGCTAGCTCCAGAATTCCATTTCTCTATGATGTGATCCCAGTTCATTACTCCGAACATTTGAATAGGTTTTTGAAGTTCTTCTTCTCTTTAAACAGAATATCCTGAACAAAGTGATCCACCCTTAATGCTTCAAGTGTGTGTTATCATTATTGATAATTACGAGGCAAGTGTCTGCATGAGCTGGCCCCACATCTCGCTGTCATGCCCCATGGTGAAGAAGCTGGGAGAACCCTAGTGGGGCTGCCGGGCACAGGCATTTTAATGTGCAGGGCATACGGCATTTTAATACGAACTGCCACAGTTACTTCATACTTGCCAGAAGATTTGTTACTTGAGGAGAAAACAATTAAGTAAGTCCATATCACAGGTTCAGCTAGCTCCAGAATTCCATTTCTCTATGATATGATCCCAGTTCATTACTCCGAACATTTGAGTAGGTTTTTGAAGTTCTTCTTCTCTTTAAACAGAATATCCTGAACAAAGTGATCCACCCTTAATGCTTCAAGTGTGTGTTATCATTATTGATAATTCATGACTCATCAGTATGCAGGGCTGTAAGAAAGGTGCTCTCAGGGCTTATCAAAGTGAATATGGAGTTTATTCCTGAATTGCACAGGTCCAGTTTTTTTAGTAGCACTATCGTTTATTTAAAAAAATATTCAGAGTTAATCCAAAAAGGCATAAATTTAGAATCTTTATTTCTAGGTAAATATTACTTACTTTAAAATACTGTGTTAAATCTATGTCCTAGGGCATATGGAGACTAACCAGGACACCCTGTGCTATCTTCTGTTTGATAATAACTGACTCCACAGGTGTTCTTCCACTGGACACCTGTCATTTCACTCGTGGAGTGGCTATGAAGAAGCAGGTTAGCAGGAGGGTGGTTAATGCCTGTCCCATCAATGCTCTGAGAATGAGCTACTATGGATTTCAACACATGCACTGTCTGTCTGGAAACACAGAATCTAGAATAACTTCCTGCTCCATGAATCCAAAAGAAAGGAAGGAAAAGGAAACCAGATCCTTGGAAGATAACTGAAGTCTGAATTCATTCCCACTTCCAACAATTCCTTTCCTACTTCTTAGCTTTGTTTTACCCGAACATCAACCATGTTTCCTCTCTGTCGCACGGTGACACTGTGGCTGTTTAGTGCCCGTAATTGTGCTCTGAAGACTCTACGGGTACATGCAGTGCCTGCCCATCAGCACCACCCGGGCAGCCCCCTCACCTCACCTCTCTGCTTGGAAGGCTCCTCTTCCTCCGTGGGTTCGGACGGGTCATAGTAGTCACTGCCGTACGTGAACCCCACCGCGTTATAGCTCCCGTCCTCTGCCAGTGCTTCACTCAACCGCTTGTATTCTTCCTCTTGAACAAAAACGAGAATTATGTTAACAGAGCAGAAATTTACTGAGAAACATTTTACATATTTCTAAAGTTGTGGCTATCAGTAAAGCATACAACACACTTTTTCCAACCTCTTTTCGAGGCAAAAATGTTTTTGAAAATTTCACACTTCACATCTATCAATATGTACTTTTGCCAGTACATGTTTACCACAGACAGCGGATTACACGTCTTTTGTGGAAAATTTCTTCCTGCTGAGAAACTTGGGGATTAAGAACTGTATTAAAGATTGTTATGGCAAAGACAAGAACATCAATTTTAATTTATACGATACTGTTAAAGAAGAACAGTTAAAGAGTTTGGTTTTTGTTTTTTCAAATCCCAGTCTGCCCTCAAAAGCTGGGAAAATTCTCTGTGGCTCTATATATAAACTATCCTGAGGTCCTCTCAGAACGCAAAGACTGCTGTTTTTCCAATCCACTGGGTACTGTCAAGATAATATCAGAAAGAGTGAGTATAAAAAAATGAATGGGAGTAAACTTTTAAATACTTAAAAAATTTTTAAAAAGTTTGTTGCTTAAGTAAGTTTTTCTTGAGCAGTACCTTGCCTTGCCTCCTCCTCAAGCAAGTCCGTATGCAAGGCTAAATACCTCTCTTCATCACACAGGGTCTCTATTCGTGCCTCCTCTTCGGAGAGCTGGTAATCTCTGTTCCATGTGGAATACTCAGCATCGTACTCAGAAAGGTCATGCAGGTGACCGCGCCCATCATATCTGTAATATGAACATACTGGTCAATGGGAAGAAATTAACGTCTGGGTTGGTTCGTGTGTGACGTTTTCTATGCATACTTACCAATTAAAACAAAGAAATAAAAATATGAAAGCAAACATAAAAATTCTTCTCATTATATTTAATTTGGCTAGTCATATCTCACCTACGTTTAAACTCAAGTTATCTTAACAAAGTCTAAATTCCTTTCTAACATACTATAAAACTTACAATTAAAGGTAAACAATCCTTTAATAGCTTAAATGGTATCCACTTCAGTGGCAGTTCTTACCCTTTATGGCTTGGTTAACCATTCAATGCCATTTGTAAGGAAAAAAAAAAAAAGAAAAAACTTTTTTTTTCTGAAAAGTCAAATATCATAGCTTACATTCACACAAACCGAATACATAAATACCTATCCGTAAGAACCAAACGGTCGAAATTTCCTCGCTTCTTTCTGCTAGTCCCGAACTCTCAGGAGAGATCTTCACCAAAGAAACTTGCGTCCATTGGAGGTAAAATCTTGGCTAGGCTCGCCCCCTAGCCACTTGGCTGAGGAAATAAGTGCTGGGTTATGTGATAGAGAGACACACATACATAGGAACAGTGACATATACGTGCAGTTTAAGGAGGTTCACTAGATACAGAGCAAAACTATTAGAAGATTTAGCATAAAATATGTGCTTCTAAACTTTATGCCCCCAGGATATAACATACATGAACACACATCCATGTGCACTTGCGTGGACCCATAGGTATGTTAGATGAAGACTAAGGAAGCACTTTCTGTTATGCTTTTAAGTACAAAAAGTTCAATGAAGATGCTGTCAAAGTGCAACTCTCAGATAATGAGTGAATTAGTGAATTTTACTTAAGACACTCAGATTTAGGGTTGCAAAAACAGATGTAGAGAGACAAAAGTCTGCTTAATTTTTCAATGCTGACTTTTGTAATGAGGACTAGAAAATATAGGGGAAAAAAAGACATTTACAGGAAAAAAGGCCAAATATTTCAGGGTAGCCAAGTTACTGCATATTATTAAATTTAAAAATTATTTTTACTATGCTGTAAACCTCCTTAACTTACAAATGTAGATCATTATCTTAAAATATTACACATCTACATGTGTAGCGTTTGCTCCCCACTGGTTTTGGAAGACCTAACTCACATCATGTACAGAGTGATATGGAAAACTGTATAAAAAGCTCAGACTTCCTTGCTTATCAAACTTTAACAATGTTACAAGTAACACTTTTCAAAAGGAAGCCGCTTGACAACTCAGGCGACATCATTCAATAGAAACCATGGTTTAAAGGTACAGCATGCTTGAGCAGAGTGCCAGGGCCCTCAGGTCCAGACCTGAGCTGGTGACCCTCCCTTCATGAGTTCTTCTTGTCTAGATCTAACTCCAAGTGGAAACGTCGGGGATGGAAAAGGCGTTTGGTCATTAATGTGTCCATTCAGGCCAGCTCAGAGGTCATCCCTATAGTCAGGTTCCAAGGCTTTGCAGAATCCAGTTTTAATTGTCTCGAACGATGGGCTTCATTCACTCGGAGAGACTATTCCACAGTTTAATGGTTGGTCACGGTTATTTTTCAGTCCGGGCCCCAGAAGCAGAGTTGCCAAACTGGCAAAAACCAAACCCACAAAAATCCCAAGGAGAAAGAGGGACTGAAAACATGGGAGGGGAGGGGAGCAAACAACCTACATCATGTAAGGTCATCCTTTTCAAATCAAACATCTTTAGCAATTTCAATCCCATGACCCCTCTGTCCAAAGTGGCCAAACACGCTCCAGGGTGACTACCTAAAAGCATGTTTGATTTGAAAAGAACATATCTCTGTCTCAGCTCCACCCTTCAGTTTTAAAAGACAGTGAAACCAGCCCTAAGAACAGTACCTCTAAGAGCAAGGCCAGTGTCTGCAAAAAGTCAACTGGCCTTCAACTGACTGGCAACTTCAGCCTGAATCTTTGAAACTCATCGGATTAACAAAGGAAAGGGGAGGAATGGGGAGGGGGGGTGGATCATATGTCATGACAGCAAAATACGGGCGCTCCACTGAGAGCGCTGGGGATAAGAGAGGTTCAAAGCCAACTCTTGGGGTCCAAGAGGTCTCTAATCGTGACATCAGCTTGCGGCGTTTCGGGCTGCCCTCCCACCACACGGAGCTGTGGGAGCGCGGAGGGCCCCAGAGCGCCGGTCAGGAGAGGCCCTGGGCCCGGGCAGCTTCCACTGCCCGGAGTGGCAACTGCAACCCAGCGACAAGAGTGAGGGGTCGTGAGGGGCTGCGGGAGCAGAGACGATCCCTCCGGCGACAGACGCGGCACGCAGCTCCAGCCAGTGCCTTAGGGCAGGTTTCACCATCCCCTCCCCCGCAAAACCAGGGGGATGTGGGGACAGGGGAGGGGTGTCCCCCGGATCCCCGATGACTCCAGAAAAACCCCCTTCAGTCCTGGCCATCAAGTCAACATCAGACGAAATCAAGCGGGCGAGGGAAGGGGAGGACCGGCGGGTGTGGGGAGGAACCGACCTGTCGATGAGGATCTTGTGGTCCCCCATCCAGGGGATGAGGTGCTGTCCCTGTTCCTGGGCCAGGGCCCGCTCATCGTCTCGGAACAGCTTGCAGGCATAGCCGAAGACCAGCAGCTCCACTCGGTTCCCCCCACCGCCGGCACCGCCGGGCCCGGTCTCCTCCTTCGCTCCGCTTTTCCTCTCGGTTTTGGTGCGGCCTCCGCTCGCGCCGTACATGACAGCGTCCCCGGCGTCCAGGCTGGTTTTCTTCTGCGCCGCGGCCGATGTCCCTGAAGCCTCCGCTTGGCCTACCCGCTCAGTCAAGAGCGCCGCATCCCGGCCCCAACCTAGACACTGCCGCCATTGCGGGCAATAAAATGGAGGAGCGCAACTTCCGGCGAGGTGCAGCCCTACTTCCGGCGAGCCGATTCCACTGATTAGCTTATTCACTCCCGTCGTTTAAGCCTCTAGAAAATATTTGGCTCTAGGTTTTCGCCTTCGGAGGTGCCGCCACGTTAGGAACTTCCGTTTTCAGAGGAAAGCGCGTTTTTGGTGTGGATTTTCTGCAGCGGCAGTCCAGAGCAGTGGCGAAAGCGCGGCTTCGGATCGTGCGTTACCTACACCCGGGCGCGTTCGGGCCCAGGGCGGAAGGAGGGCGGGCGCTTCGTGGGCTGCGTACGCGGCTTGGTGGGGCGGGTGCTCTTGGTTCCTGTGAGAGGTCTTTCTGTCAGCCGGGCCCTGGACCGTGCACTCTGGGGCCAGGGACCGTCGGGTCGGGTTCTTGGGGGCCGTGGGGCCTTGAGGTCGTGGGGTTGAGTGTTCTGGGGTTGGGTGCTCTGGGACCGAGGCACCGTGGAGTCGGATACTCAGGGGCGTGGGTCGTGGGGTTGCGTGTCCTGGGGCCATGGGGTCGGGTGTTTGGGGGCCGTGGGGTCGGGTGCTCAGGGCTCGGGGACCGTGGAGTCGAGTGCTTAGGAGCCGGGAGCCGTGGGGTCGTGGGGTCGGGTGTTGTGAGTCAGGGGGGCCATGGGTCGTTGCATCGAGTATTTTGGGCCGGGGATTCTGGGGCCCGGGAGGTTGACAGGGGTATGCCTTGGGAGCAGGTCGCATGGCTTTTCTGAATCCCTGGTTTCTTCTCCGTCCTGGGGGGTCATGACCCTGGTCTCGCCTTCCCCAGGTTTCCTCAGCGGTTGTCAGAGATCTTAGTAAGATGTGAAGCCTCTTGCCTTGACGGATTTTGTGGTCCTGGGACCCGTGTAGGAGGAAAGTGGTGGGAACGGCTTGTGTGGACACTTGTCAGTTGAATGCGGGGTGATTTTGCTTTGGTTTGTTTCGTCTCTTATTTGTTTAGTTTTCTGGTACGACTTGGAAACTGTCACTCTCTGATGAAGTTCAACGTATTTACCTACACCCTGCAGTTCCACTTGTCCGTGGATACCCCAATGGGTATACCTCATGTGATACCCGGAATGCTGCAGGAGACCTGGACACAAGTGTTTATAGCATCCTTCTTGAATGGCCCCAGACTGGAAGCAGCCCAAGTGTCCATCACAACAGAATGCTCAAATACATTGTAGTGTAGTTATATACACAGTGGAATATACAATGAAACTGAATGAGCTGAAGTTACAAGCAAGAGACTGGATGAATCGGAAACAATTTTGAGCAAAGGAAGCAAGACAGAAAAGTGCAAATAGTACCTTTGTGATTCCAATCCTAAAATTCAGTCAAAATTAGGCTAAAATGGAACACCCGGGTGATCCAGTGGTTAATAATATGGGTTCAGTTAAGAAAACAAATGTTCTGCAGAGGGAAGTTAATACACTGAGCTGGTAATAAAGGTCTAGGAAGAGCTGAAAACGGGTAGGTGGGGTAACCCTGATGAGCCAGCGCCCCCACTACCCTGGAGGCTGGCGCTGGTTGCTTCCTCACAGCTGGGGTGGGGTACCTTCTTTGGTTGTGAAGGAAGGGCTGTGCGGAGACCTAGAATCAGGAAGAAGATACAGATAAAACAGGAGATGCCATTCAAAACAGACAAGTAGACAGATACACTGACTTCTGCCCTCCAGCACCCAAACAGCATTTGTTAAATGGAGGTGAAGCCAGTGGGCAAGGAAGCCTGTATGCTCAAGTCTGCAGGCCAAGCCTTTTGTGACACTATAAATGGGCGTCAGTGGTCATGAGGGCAGATAGGTGTCCTCCTGAGCACATGTAAGGACTCATTGGTCCTCATGAGGCCTAGTGAGAAACAAGACAACAGTCCCCAAATGGGGTTGATGATGCTAAACCTCATGTCATCAGACTAACACCTGATTTAATTATGGTTTTGACTCTCCTAGAAATGGGATCTTAAATCGGCAAATCAGGAACCACTTGGTTAGCACTAGTTAGGTCACTTGCTTTTTAGACTCCTGCCACTTCCTCCAGGAGAGTACCTTGCAATAACCAACCTGTTTTGGGGCTAGTATGACTTCTTGTTCCTGCTCGCTTCTACCTATGAAAGGTTTTATATATATTTGGCTGTTCTGGGTCTTCAGTTGCGGCATGCAGAGATCTAATTCCCTGACAAGGGATTGAACCCAGCTCCCCGGCATTGGGAGCATGGAGTCTTAACTACCGGACCACCAAGGAAGTCCCCTATAAAAGTTGTTTTGTACAACTTCTTGGTACTTCTTTGTCTGTTAATTTGCATGCTACCTGATTCATGAATCATTGAATAAAACCAGTAAGATCTTTAAGGTTTGCTCAGTTGAATTCTATTCTTTGATCAAAGTTGTCCTGTGATCTCAATTACCTGGAGATGTTCGTTAACTTGTCCAAGGTCACACGTCCCTGGCTGGCTGCCCCCAGGGCCTGTGCTCCTACCCATCAAGGCAACTGTCTCGCCAGGTCGAATGTGCTCAGCACTGGAAATAAGAGAGTTGATGTTCCCTGTCTTTGAGAGGCTCGTGATCAAGGTGGGGAGACAGACATGTAAAGATAAGTCTGTTCTGTTGGAATATTTTGTAAGTGGATATTTCTTCCGGGGATGCTTTCTCATGCTATACACTGAATGTCAGAATGCCCTTCCAGCCCACCTCTGCTATTATGTTCTCAACATGAAAGCATCTTGTCTGCAGTATGACCCAGGCTTGTCTCCTGCAACTGGGTATTTTAATAACCTAGTTTGAAGATGGAAAAATACAAATGCCCAGGTATTGCTTTTTTTCTCCAAAGCTCCAGGTATGTTTCTAATGAGCAGCCATGTTTAAAAACAAATGGACTAAAATTTCAAGATAATTCTGATATGCATCTGGATTTTAAAAAGTGATTACAGGTTAAACTATAATAGTTTGGTGATATAGAATTCTATTATTTTTCTGTTGCCCAATCATATAACATGATTAGATAATAGTTAACATAATCACAGTAGCAAAAGATGTTTATCAAATTTCACAATCAATAGCCAGACAAAAATAAAGATGATTACAGTTGCAAACCATAATGGGAACTTGATTAACCTAACTATAAAGTAATTACATACAATTTGGGGGCTGATGCAGCAAGTGGAAGTTCATACATGCTATTGATTCCTTCTAGTGTATTTATTTCTGTTAGTTTGTTCTTTATTTCTTGTGGGTCTTTGGTAAACATTTCTTGCATCTTCATTGTTTTCCCAAGATCCTGGATCATCACTATTGTTATTCTGAATTCTTTTTCTAAAAGATTGCCTCTCTCCATTTAGGTTTTTTTTCTTCTTTTTTTTTCCTGGGGATTTAGCTTGTCCCTTCATCTGGGACATAAGTTTCTACTTTTTCCTCGTGATTAACTTTCTGTAATGTTTAGCCACTGTGGGATTATGATCCTTCTTGCTTCTGTCTGCCCTCTGATGGAGGAGGCTAAGAGGCTGGTGATGGGAAAAACTGGGTTTTGCTCACTAAAGCTTTAATTATCTGCTGATTGGTGGTGGTGTGCTCCCTCCCTGGTAGTTGTTTGGCCTGAGCAGCCCTGGGGTTTAAGGGCTCTATGATAGGGTTAATGGTGACCTCAAAGGGGAGAACTTCTTTGGTATTATTATTCTCCAGTTTGTGGGCCACCCACCCAGTGGGTATGGGATTTGATTTTATCATGATTGTTCCTCTCCTACTGTCTTGCTGCAGCTTCTTTTTTGTCTTTGGACATGTGGTATCTTTTTTTTTTTTTTTGCTGATCCCAGTGTCCTCTTGTGGATGGTGGTTCAACAGCTAGTTGTGATTTGGTTCTCTCGCAGTAGGATGTGAGCTCACGTGCTTCTACTCCACCATCTTGAACTGGAACTCCCTAGTATATTTCTTGATTTAGCCTTTCTCCTAAATTTCTTTGAAATCTAATTTTCAGAGTGAAAGCCTCTGAGCAGTTACAGTGAAGCACTTTTGTCAACAGCTTCATACTTCTTTCCTACTTGGGCCGCTGCTTGGCTCAGATGTGTAAGGGGAGATCTCTATTCCTGCTGTCAACACTCTGGACGGATAGGTCTTTGATCCTTGCTGTGTGACTTGGCCATGTCACACCTGAGGCTGTGGTCACCTTCATTTATGAACGGCACAGATCCACCACTTACTGGAAGTGGACTTGTTAAACCTCTTGTATGAACATTATGCTCTGTTCTTTTTCATTGGGTTGAGGGAGGTGGGAGGGAAGGTTGCAAAAGATGGGTACTAGAACGTTTCAGTTTAACATTTATGTTAAATGTATTTCATTTAACTTTGATGTATATATACTGGACAAATGGGTCCCAATTTTATAATATCTAGTTTCTAGATATTAAAGAGATTGCCAGTGAATGAAAAAAATAGGGTTAGTAAACTAACACATTTTGTATACTTTGTGTTAGGGACCGGGATGGGGAATACATGTAAATCCATGGCTAATTCATTTCAATGTATGACAAAAAACACTGCAATGATGTAAAGTAATTAGCCTCCAACTAATAAAAATAAATGGAAAAAAAATAAAATGAAGCTGGGGTTAAAAAAAAATTCATTGAAAGGCTGTCTTCTGAAAAGGACCTTTGGAAGTGAAATTGTAAGTCACATCTAAGTGACATATGTGCCTGTACTTACCACCCACTGTTGGCTGGATGGTGAAAAGGAGGAATTGGGAGAAATGAAAGATTCTAGACTAGAATATTCATTCCTTTGTAGAAGACACTTTTGAATATAGCCAGAAATGGCAACCCACTCCAGTTTTCTTGCCTGGAGAATCCCATGGATGGAGGAGCCTGGTGGGCTACAGTCCACTGGGTCGCAAAGAGTCGGACACAACTGAGTGACTTCACTTTCACATTGTTACCTGTGTCTAGTTTATTCGACACTACTGTGTTTATAGTGGATAAACTTAAGTTCTTATTTGAAACATCTAGTCTTTAGA